AAAGTTGCTGTTGAACTATTGTTATTTCTTCCCTGAGTGTCAATAAGATTCACCAGTGAAGCTATCTGGAATGAAGGGATTTTTATTTGAAGGTTTCTAGTTAGAAGTTAAAATTTTAAAATAGCTCAGGTTATCTTTCTTCTTGAAGGTTCTAGCCAGAGCAATAAGGCAAAGGAGAAAAAAAGCATCCAGATTATAAAGGAAGAAATAAAACTGTCTGTATTTGTAGAAGATTTCTACATTATTTTCTATGTAGAAATTCTATGGAATCCAGAAAAACAGTTACTAGAATAAGTGAGTTTAGCAAGTTTGTATGACACAAGGAAGTAGGAAAAAATCAATTTTATTTCTATATATTAGTAACAAACAATAGATAATTGAAATTGAATCAATATCATTTACAATAGTATTCAAAAATGTGAAATACTTAGAAATAAGTCTGACAAAAGATGACCAAGACCTGTACACTGAAGCCTATAAATCACTGCTGAGGCACATTAAAACAGACATGAGTAAATGAAGAGATATGTTATGTTCATAATATAGAAGACTCAATATTGTTAAAATGTGAAATCTCAAATTTACCATTAGACTCAAAGCAATTCCAATCCAAATGTCAACAGAGTGTTTTGGGGTTTTTTTTGGTAAGAATTCACAGGCTGATTTCCTATATAACATGGGAACTAAAGAACCCAGAATAGTCAAAACAACTTTTGAATAGAGGGATAAAGTTGGTAGATTAATGCTACCTGATTTCAAGACTTATTATAAAGTTGAAGACAATGTGGCATTGTTATGCATGCTTGTATGCTCAGTCGCTTTATAGTTGTGTCCCACTCTTTGTGACGCTATGGACTATAGCCCACCAGGCTCCTCTGTCCATGGGATTCTCCAGGCAAGAATATTGGAGTGGGTTGCCATGTCCTCCTCCCACTCTTTGTGACGCTATGGACTATAGCCCACCAGGCTCCTCTGTCCATGGGATTCTCCAGGCAAGAATACTGGAGTGGGTTGCCATGTCCTCCTCCAGGGGATCTTCCCAAACCAGGGATCAAACCTGGGTCTTCTGTGTTGCAGGCAGATTCTTTACCCACTGAGATACCTAGGAAGCCCAGCACTGGTATAAGAATAGGCAAATAAGTCAGTAGAACAGAATAGAAAGTCTAGCAATAAGCCCACGTACATGTGAACAAATTACTTTTGACAAAGGTGCACTTAAACAATAATTAAGTGGAGAAGGAATAGCCTTTTCAACAAATGCTCTTGGAACAATAGGATATCCATATGCAAAAAATAATAATTTTCTGTCCATACCTTGCATCATAGATGAGAGTTAACTTAAAAAAATAGGTTGTATAACTGAATGTGAAATCTAAAAGCAAAATGCTTCTAAAGAAAACATAGGATAAAGCATTTGCAACCTTTGGTGAGAAAAAGATTTTTCACATATGATGTCAAAACCATGACCCATAAGAGAACAAATTTATAAATTGTACTTCATCAGAGTTAAAAACATCTGTTCTTTCTTATATTCCTAAGAGAATGAAAAGATGAGCTACACACGAGGATAACTTACTTGTGAATTCTATTCCTGACAAGGAATTTCTATACAGAATATATAAAATTTCTCAAAACTTAAACCATACAAATCTATAAGAAAATGGGCAAATAACTTGAACAGACACTCCACCAAAAAAGACACACGGATGGTAAAAAAAAAAAGCACCTTAAAAGATACTCACCATAAGCAGTCATAAAGAAATGCAAATTAAAACCAAAACAAGATACTACTACACACATTATATAATGGCTAAAATTAAAAAAAAAACAACTGTGCTAAGTGTTGGTGAGAATGTGGAGGAACTGAAACTCTCATATACCCTCTGCTGCTGCTGCTAAGTCACTTCAGTCGTGTCAGACTCTGTGCGACCCCATAGACGGCAGCCCACCAGGCTCCCCATCCCTGGGAAATGCAAATTAAAACCAAAACAAGATACTACTACACACATTATATAATGGCTAAAATTAAAAAAAAAAAAACAAACAACTGTGCTAAGTGTTGGTGAGAATGTGGAGGAACTGAAACTCTCATATACCCTCTGCTGCTGCTGCTAAGTCACTTCAGTCATGTCAGACTCTGTGCGGCCCCATAGACGGCAGCCCACCAGGCTCCCCATCCCTGGGATTCTCCAGGCAAGAACACTGAAGTGGGTTGCCATTTCCTTCTCCAGTGCATGAAACTGAAAAGTGAAAGTGAAGTCGCTCAGTCGTGTCTGACTCTTAGCAACCTCATGAACTGCAGCCCACCAGGCTCCTCTGTCCATGGGGTTCTCCAGGCAAGAGTACCGGAGTGGGGTGCCATTACCTTCTCTGCATATACTCTCTAGGGAACATAAAAACCAGTCTATTTGGAAAATAACTTGGCGATTTTTACAACATAGACACATCATATGATCCAGTCATTCTACTCCTAGGTGTTTATCTAAGAGAATGAAAGCATATGTCCTTACAAATTTTACACTAATGTTCATAGCAGCTTTATTTGTTTTAACTAAACTGGAAATAAAACAAGTGTTCATCATCAGCTGATAAATATTGATAAACAAATTGCTGTACATATTTCCAATTTGATTCTGTTCTTCAGTAGGAAGAAATGAACACTAAAACATGGATGGATATCAGAATAATTATTCTGAGTCAAAAAAGCCAGATAATAAAAGACTGCATCCTTTATGATTCCATTTATATAAAATTCTATGAATGCCAAGTAATCTACAGTGACAAAGCAGGTCAGTGGTTGCTTCAAGGAAAGAGGGGTGAGAAAAATTACGAAGGGATACAAACAAACTTGAGTTTAATTGTTCACTAACTTGGTTGTAATGGTGATGATTTCACTGGTGTTTATAATTGTCAGAACTTATCAAGTTGTACTTAAATATATGTAATTTCTTCTGTGTCAATTATACCTCAATAAAACTGCTAAGAAAAGACTTTCAGATGGAAAAATATTTGTAAGATGTCCTTCTGACTGGAATTGAAAAACAATCTATTAAAAAATTCTTAGGTGATAACAAAAATGCCAACAGGAATTAGAGAATTCTGGAAAAATAAAAGAATAATTAAAACACTAAATATCCTATTAAGACATATTTAATGCATAGATAAGAGGGAAATCAGTCATAAACACATATATCTCTCAAAAGAGAAGAATAAAAATATACAATTAAAATTTCACCTCAAAAACCAAAACAATGAAATCCCCCTAAAGAGCCCAGAAAAAGAAAATAATAAAGCTAAATACATAAATAGCTGAGACAGACAACAGGGCAGTAGTAAAGCTAAACAATAAATTATAATCCCAGGGTGTTTCTGCAAATTAACAATAGAGACAAAATAGTAATTCATCTAATTTAGAACAAAATAGAAAAGCATGAATTTATATAGTAAGAATTGACAAGGAAGAAATAACTATTGATATATAGAAAGTTTTAAAAAATGTGCCTCTTGGGACTTCCTTGGTAGTTCGTGGCCAAGACGCTGTGCTCTTGACACAGGGGGCCCAGGTTCGAACGAACCCTGACCAGGGAACTAGATCCCACATGCTACAACTTGCCTGCCACAATTAAGACCTTGTTTTTGTTGCTGAGTCATTAAGTTGTGTCTGAGCCTTTTTCGACCCCATGGACTGTAGCTTGCCAGGCTCCTCTGTCCATGGGATTCCCCAGGCAAGAATACTGGAGTAGGTTGCTATTTCCTACCTGGTGCAGCCAAATAAATAAAATGAACACTCAAAAAAAAAAAAATGTGCCCCTTTCTACACATACATGCAAATAAATTGGGTGGAAAGAGTAGGGGATTGAGTAAAAATTCATTGATTATGCATTGTATATGGTTTGAAATTATCATACTAATACTTTACATATTCAAAGTATAAAATTGAAACAACATGAGGGAAAAGATATTTTACATCATCTCTAGGTATCTTCCAACAAATTACTTACTAATTACAAAAGAAAAAAGTAACAACTTTACAATGGTTAAATCTGGCTTAAAAACATTTTAATGAAGTGATGAACATTAGCACTATCAATAATGGGACAAGCCAACATCATAGCCCTCTTATGTATTTCACTGCCAAATTCACTTAAGCAGAGTTTCTGCCAAGAATACATTAACTGAATCCAATCCACATGTAATAAAACACAAAAGAAGAGGGAACTGTTTCAAATTGAAGACACTGGGACAACTAAATGCAAATAGTTATGTTGAATTGAATCCTGGGATGGAAAACATAATTGGTGTAAAGGACACTGCTTGAATAATAGAGGAAATTAGAATATAAATTGTTGACTAAATACTAGCATTGTATAGATGGTAACTTTCCTGATTGTTAACAATACTGAGCTCATACAACAGAATTTCCTTATTGTTAGGAAAAAAAATAATTATAAAGGAGTAAACAGGCATGATGAAATTGCTAAATGAGAGAGAGAGAGAGACAGAATGATAAAGCAAATACAGCAAAATGTTAACCATGAATAGATCTAAGTATGCATAGATAGGAACTCATGTACGATCCTTGGGGGTTTTTCTATAAATTGGCAACTAAAACAAGATACATGTTAAATAATTGTATTCACACCACTCCTATAGCAATGATTCCCTTCTGTACCTTAAGTATCCCAATTTTTTTATTCTATAACACTTAGTTTTAATATCAAATATATAGTTTGTGTATTATGAATCTCCCTCCATAAAAATACAAGTTCTCAGGGACAGGAATCTTTGCTATTTTGTACAATGAAGAAATCCTATTTCTAAACTGTACCTAGCATTTTGTAGAGGGAAGATAGATACTCTTGAATTAGAGAATAAATGTATAATTGGATAAAACAGGCTCTAGAGTCAGACAAGTCAAATCCTGGCTCTTAAGTGTTCCTTCATACAACACAGACACATTACTGAACTTCCTCGGAACTTAGCTCCTAATAAGCACTTACTTCAAAGGGATACGGGAAAGATGACATTCACAAACACTGAGAAGTAGGAACTCCAAAAGTTTGTTCTCCACAAAGGCAATGAATGAACTGGCAAAAACTGCTGAGAATAAACTTCTTTCAGAACTCTGGAATCAAATCAAAATTTACCACAAGCAGGGAAATAATTAAATAATTAAGAAAAAAAAAAGATGAGACTGGATAAGAGAGCTTTGAGATGTTTTAACTTACCACGGTACAATACTATCTCCTGCTTCCCAGCTTGCAGTGGCCTGAAGACAGTGGCTGGCATTCTCAGTGTGTACCTGGTATCAGAGGGAGCAGAACAGACCTTATTCTCAAATGTGGTTTTTGTTTTAACCTATCTGGTGGCTCTTTGAAGAACTGTCTCAAATGGCTTGCCTATTTTCACCTAAAGACACTTACTCCTTGGAGGGAAAGTTATGACCAACCTAAACAGCATATTAAAAAGCAGAGACATTACTTTGCCAACAAAGGTCCGTCTAGTCAAGGCTATGGTTTTTCTAGTGGTCATGTATGGATGTGCGAGTTGAACCGTGAAGAAAGCTGAGCGCCGAAAAATCGATGCTTTTGAACTGTGGTAATGGAGAAGACTCTTGAGAGTCCCTTGGACTGCAAGGAGATCTAACCAGTCCACCCTAAAGGAGATTAGTCCTGGGTGTTCATTAGAAGGACTGATGTTGAAGCTGAAACTCCAATACTTTGGCCACCTCATGTGAAGAGCTGACTCNTTGATGCCTCCTAATTATATAATTGGTAAGTGAATAAAGGACATCAGCAAAATTACTTGAGAACTTGACAAAGTGTTTACACAGAAAGTGAAAGTCGTGTCTGACTCTTTGCAACCCCATGGAATTCTCCAGGCCAGAATAATGGAGGGGGTTGCCATTCCCTTTGCAACCCCATGGAATTCTCCAGGCCAGAATAATGGAGGGGGTTGCCATTCCCTTCTCCAGGGGATCTTCCCAACCCAGGGATTGAACCCAGGTCTCCTGCATTACAGGTGGATTCTTTACCATCTGAGCCACCAGGGAAGCCCTAGCTGACCATTAATCTAACAGAACAGACTTTAATGACCACATATGACAAAGGATACAAACTTTACAAAACTACTGCAGAAAAGTCATAAAACAAACAGCAAGGGAAATGCAAATCAAAATCATAATGAGATGCCCACTACATGCCTACTCAGATGGCTATAACTTTTTAAAATAAAAATAAACAGCAATAATGAGGTTGTGGAGAAACTGGAACCATTGTATATTGCTGGTAAGGCTATAAAATGGCACATCAACTGCATGATGTCAGCTCCTCAAAAGTTAAACAATTAGGACCCAGTAGTTCCACTCCTTGGTATACATCTGAGAGAACTGAAAACACAGGTTCAAACAAAAAACATGTATACAAATGTTATAGCAAAACTATTCATCAACAAAAGGTGGAAGCAATCCAAAATGTCCATTAACATGAAATAGATAAATGTAATATGGTATATCTGTACAGGGGAATATTATTTAGCCTTAAAAAGAATGAAGTAGTGACACATGCTACAACATGGATAAATCTTGAAAATACTATGCTAAGTATTAATATTAATAAAAAAGCCAGACACAAAAAGTTATATATCTTGTGATTTCACCTACATAGAAAGTCTCAAATAGCCAAATCCATCAAAGTAGAAAGCTGATGCGGGGTTGCCAGAGGCTAACAGGAGGTGAGAATGGAGATGAACTGCTTAATGTGGGTGGAATTCCTGGAGGTGGAGATGTATAAAAAATGTTCTGGAATTATCAATAAGTAGTGAGAATGACTGGACAGTATTGTGAATGTACTAAAAGCCACTGAATTATACACTTTAAAATGGTTAAAATGATAAACCTTATGTTATGTGAATACTATTTCAATTTTTTAAACTGGATCTCAGTTCCCCCACCAGGGCTGAACTCTGACCTCTGCAGTTAAAGCATGGAATCCTAACCACTAGACTACTAGAGAACTCCTTATTTCAATTTTTAAATAAGTAATATGAGATGCTCAAATACAATGACGTATTTTGAACTTTTCAGGACTGAGTCTTTCAAAATAAGTGCCCAATAAAAACGGTCTCCTGCATTGTAGCAAGATTCTTCACCGTCTGAGCCACCAGGGAAAACCCAAATAGTAACACACGGGCCTCTTCTCTAAGAAGTCAGAGGCATCCTCATCTGCTTGGCAACCCTCTCCCATTAGCTTGAAAGCATGACTCTGAGTAAGGACCCGGGCCCCCCAGGTCCTGCTGCAGTGATACAACGAGGCCGGGGATAATGGCAACTAGTCCTAGAAGACTCTGGGTCCCCAAAACTGGCAGAGACTGGTTAAAGCTTCCTTTATCGTGACAGGGCCTTGGTTGGTGGGAAGAGGTCAGAAGTTGTCATTAGCGGGGTCTGAACGCCACCTCTGCCCCTAACCCTCACCAGGCCTCAACCTCAAGGCTTTCTTGATGGTGCTTTTCTCTGAGGTAAAATAGAGATGAGGACTCGGATCAGGGTCAGTGTGGTTTGCCGGTCTGCTAACTATAAAGCGCGGGCCACTACTCTCAGACACCAGACTGTAGCCTTCTATATCCTGAAGGTTCCGGGGACTCACATTCCCTCTCCTACCTCCCCTTCTGCTGCCCCCACCCCACACCTCCACCTCCTTCCCACAGTGCTTGGCTCATCCAAGATGGAGACGTTCCCCAGAAGCCCCCAAACTCCACGGAGTCCAGCAGGCTTCCCTCCTTACATTCCTGCCTTGGAACAGCTGGTCTGAAGTGAAGTTGCCCAGTTGTGTCCGACTTTTTGCGACCCTGTGGACGGTAGCCTGCATCCGTCCATGGAATTTTCCAGGCAAGGATACTGGAGTGGCTTGCCATTTCCTCCTCCAGGGACTCTTTCCCGACCCAGGGATCGAACCCCTGTCTCTTGCACTAAAGGCAGACTCTACCATACGAGCCACTAGGGAAATTCCTCAGAGACTGTGGAACGTTCTGGCAGGAGCAGAGCCCCTCCCCCACACTGCCACCTACGCACAGCCGGGCTGAAGGCGCAGAGAGGGAGGAAGGCCTCTGATTGGAGGAGGCTTGGTGAGAGGGTGGGGCGATGGGCGTGTCCAACGGCCCCTGAAGAAGCCGTTGGGATCCGTTAATTTCCAGCGGCACTTGGCTAATTTTTTTCTAAGATGGCATGAAGCTGACTTACTTAGAGAACGGGCTTATGGGTATCTCCCCTTCCAGGAAGATGAGAACTGCTATAAGGATTCAGGAAAACCCCTGAGGCCCAGGATGTGGAGAACTGGGCGCCCGTCCCTCACCGCAGGTTGGTTGTAGACGTTGTGGCGGGAGGGGTCCAAGGGATTTTGTGCTCCCCGTCTCCCTAGGAGATGGGCGGTGGTTGGAGATAGGTACCCAAGCCCCTTGCAAGCCCCTTCCCCCTCGCCTCGGGCTTCATCCGAGCATTTCTCCACTCTTTTCTCTCTTTACCACTGTGTCTTTCTTGTGGAAGGATTATTCTTCCATCCCAAGGAGGAGAGCCACTTGAATGTCCTGAAAGACACTGGGACTCCGAGGACAAGTATGTGCCGACCCATCCCTGTGCGCCCCGGGCCTTTTCCGGCCTCCCTTTCCCGGTTTGCGGGTATCTTTCCTGACTTCTTAGTCTCATTTATCACCTCCCTCCCTGCTGTGATTGGTGAAGGGTTGGGGTGGATGAACTGGAGATCTGGCGGGTGGGAGGGTCTGGGATCAGTTTCAAGTCCAAAGATGCCCCTCCAAGCTCTGTGTTATTGTGGGAAATATACTGACCTTTTCATGGGTGTGTGCTCTCACCTGGAAAGTGACAAAAATCATAATGCTTATTGAATCATGGTGAAAACGGGGGTGATTATGTCAGTGTCTTTGGAAAACAGATGTGCTGCAAATTACTGATTAGGGTTTTAACTCTGTTCTTCCCGCTGCCGTCCCCCCAGCAGCTGTCTTTTCTGTGTACGAGGTTTCTGCCTTTTTCCTTCCACAGGATGGGTCAGTCAAGCCATAACAGAGCATGGAGGCAGTCCCTTTGTCCACCCTGTCATCTTCTAGGAACTAGCAAGCACCCTTCCCGGGCCCCTGCTCCAGTGGACTTCCCCGGCTCTTCCTTCCCAGCCTTTGCTGTTGCATTAGCCATCTGGAAAAAAAGCTGCTGGTAGGACCTGGGACTTTTGTTCGCACCCACAACCCTTCCCTCCAGATATCCAGTACTCTGCCTTCAGGGAGGAGACTTGAACTTTAGGCAATAGGAGAAAACCAAACCTTCACGGGCTTTGGTTCCCTCCAAGGCCAAGGTTCCCAAGATCCTTGGTTAAGAGGTCTGGGCCACCGCCTTCCCTTCCTCAGTCTTCTTTTCCCTGTTTGTCCCAGAGTTCTGCTATAACCCCAAAGCTTTTCTGTTTACCATCAACATGGAAACTTGACTCTTTATATAGATATATTTTCCCTCTTTTGTGCATCATCTTGTTCCCTAAAACTGCATTTTCATGAAGGAGGCTTGTGGGACTCAAGGGGCCTGGCCAGTCACCCAGGCTTCCCCAGAGCCTCTCAGACCACTGGTCGTGTGGAGAAGTTTAATAAAGATGTCATTACTTCTTGACTCTTGCGGCTTGTGTTCGGTGTGCTGATTCAGAAGTGAAGACTCATGTGGATCCTTTTTATCCTTCCCACTCAAACTGGGTGGAAGGTGTTCGCATCCCCAGGGAAATGGGCAATGAGAGGTGGGTGGAGGGGATGTTATAATGGGCACCTCAGCTTGCCCACCCCTGCCTTTGAATAAAGCTCATCACTGTCTCCTCTAGGGACCTGGAATTACCTGGTTTACTAGACACCAGGCAGAGTTTTCTGAGCACTTGCATTGTAATAGGGCAGGAACTAAAAGGGAACCAATTTATCCACCAGAAAGTCAGGTCAGAGGAAGCAGGTAAACAGTGATTCATATTAAGGCCCTAGAATTTTATTAGTTGCTATTTTTATAACTTTGTTCTTTTAGTCCTTGATAGAGGATAAAGGGAGTATTGTAAAGGAACAAATTGCTGGTGGAAGAAGGGTGGGGGAGGGTGGGTTGTCATCCTCAGAGCAGGAATGGAAGAGTGCAGGTATCACATCACTGGCCTGTGATGTGATGATTGAGAGGTGTGGGCCACTTCCCTGGATCCCACAGATAGGCGTGACAGTCCTAGAACACAAACCTCTGCTTCCTAGGGCCTCAGAAGTTGCCCAGTGCCTCTGCCTCTCTCCCCTGCCTATCTTCCCTGTGTACCATGGATACCAGAGCTGATGTGGCAAGAGAACAGACCTCCCTAAGACTTTCCATCTGAGGCCCTGGTTCTGTGTTTTTCTATGTCAGTGATGATCACAGAATATTCTTGGAGTTGTCT